CTTTACAACTATAGAGAGTACAACATTTTATTCATAGTTTATTTTGTAAGTTGCTATTAGATTTTCCTTATGGGTATACAAACATTTTGGACATAAATCAAATACACAATATTTAAAAAGTAGAATGCTATGATAAATACATGCATTAATATAATCAAATACTTTTTCCATACAAAATGACAATGATGGTAGAATGGTGACATGATATATAAATTTAACCCAAAATGATTCATAGGTGAGAGAATAGAAAAAGCAAGACAAGATTGTGAAAAAATATATAATTTATATATTTTATAGCAGTTTATTAAAATACAGTTCCAGATTTACTGATAGTAACTTCATTGTCTCAAACACTCAAAGCACAATCACTCTTTTTTTTCTTTCTGGTACCAGAGATCAAACTCAGGACCTTGCACTTACAAGGTAGGCACGGTGCCACTGAGCTAAATCCCCAGTCCTAAAGCACAATCACTCTTTTCAAAGAAGGCACCAAGTAATCCAAGATATTTTGGGTAATACTAAAGTACACTAGCAAAGTATCTGAAGTAGTCTTCTTTGTTATTTTGCTGTCTAGTTTCTATTTTCTATAGGAAAGTTCCCAGTGCTAATATTGCTAACTATATTAACACATTTTAAAGGGATTTTTTTACATTGATGAGTGATAAATATCAGAAAATTATGATTTTCCTATAAGAAAGTATCAAATCTATAAAATACAGGAGGAATTAATATATAAAGCAATGGTTCTTAAAGTTTTTGCATGTATGTAGATTAGTGAACTACTGCAGGATAAGAAAGAAAGAATACACAGAGCCACAGGCCAGTAGAGTAAGGGGAACACTAGTAGATATTTCTCCTATTTCCACATGAATCAAATTACAGTAGAGACACAGACCAAAAGAAATCTAAGATGGTTAGCTAGCATTAGTTTATAGGGAGTTCAGAGGATATTGTTATCTAATCTCCCACAAAAAATATTGGAAATAGAATTCCAATGATTTGAAGAGCCTAACTTGTCATATTATATAAATTCAAATAAAAACCTGCAACATGCAAGATAAATTTTGTCTCTTCTTCCCTTCTTTCTGATATGTTAAACAGATGGATAAAGAGATATTTGTATATTTTAAATGTATACTTTGACTGCATGTACTATCAACCATAGTATACAGTTTGTTTGTTTGTTTATTGTACAGGGGGTCAAATTCAGGACCTTTTGCTTGCCAGGCAGGTGCGACACCACTGAACAACCTCCCTGACCTGGTATACAGTATATTTAAAATAATTAATGAGGATAATACTTTAGAGTGAATGGAAATATTGTGTAGTTTCTAACTAATGATATTATTATGCCAACTCTGCCATCACCAATGTTTGTCTTAAAATGAAATAATAGGTAGTCTTGAGAAAAATGAACAAGATTTTTGCAGTGATATGCTAGAAATTTGTAAATGCCTCATTTCAATAAATGTTCTTTTTTTAAACAAAAATTACAGGGCTGTGTCACATGATTATATGTGATTATATCTGCAATGGCAATAATCATAGAGCAATTATGGGGGTGTCTGGGTTGATGCCCATAGAGGTATGATATAACAAAAAGAAACTAGCAAGACAATAATTTTAAGGTTGAGAACACAAATCAGGTAAATATTATGCAGAAACCCTGGGATTATTACCACTAACTTTACCAGTTCAATACCATCACTGCAAAAGTAAGGCCATTATTCTGAGTCCTAGCTCTTCATGACTGCCCATCTTCAACCAATCAAGGTCTGATGTATGTTAGATATTCGCCAGGAACTTAATCTATATTATTTCATTTCATAATTCTAATTAAGCTGCCAAGATGGAATAATTATATTTGTTCTACAGTTGACAGAAGCTGCCCAATCATGCTCTTCTGCCTATTCCAAAGCTCATTTTTCTTCCCATAAACAACAGTAATGAACACAAAAGTATTAGTAATAGTCTCATTTTATCTGGGGCTTACCAAATGCCATCCTCTATTCTATATTATCAAAACGTAATGAAGTTGTTATTTCTGATCTGTCAGTGCTTCAATACACTAAAGTTGAAAAGGATCTAGGACTCTCAGTTTGTTGGCTTCTGGACCCTTTCATTTTATCAGTAAGATTTTGGTTGTATTTTATTTTATTCCAAATTTAGTTTACCTTTCTATGCCTACCTATGACAGTTTGGAAATGGCTCAAATTCCTCTCCTTGTGATATCCATACTCCTTTGAATTATACCTCTTCCACAAAAAGAGATTTCTGCTCTTGTAAGTCTGAGGGGGGCTGTGTGACTGGCTGTGGGTAATGGGACGTGGGCACACATGGCGAGTGAATAGGCTTGAAAAGCACCTGAACTTTAGGACCAGGTTCCTGTTACTGGGACCCTCGTGATGCAGTGAAGTGATGGTGAGCCAGCCTGATGAGCGACGATGAAGGTGCATGGTTATTACCACAGATGACCTCAAAGCAACTGTCCAAAATGAGGACCTTCTGCTCCAACACCAAGAACCCTGCTAACAAATAACATCATTTCCACACACTCTTCCCACCCAACTCTCAGAATTATAATACATGTCTGCTGCTTTAGGTTGCTAGGTTTTGGAGTTGCTTGCTATTTTACTCTCCCAGGACCTTAAAGCACTCTTTCTCAAGTCATACAGGGACCATGTGTGAAGAACAGAGTTGTATTAAAGTCACCAACTTGCATAAATAGGCCTCCAATGTTGGTACCAACAACATTCTAAAAACACGTCTAAATCAGTGCCTTAATTTACAGTCCATATCTGTTCCTCAAGATGAGAAGTCACCTGTTTCAGTTGACTTGTGCTGCTATAACAAAATACCAGAGACTGGATAATTTATGAAGAACAAAAATTGATTTTCTTATAGTTTGGGGGGTTGAGATATGCAAGATAAAGAAGCTGTGAGATTCTGTGACTGGTGAGGAGTATTCTCTGCTTCTAATTTGTCATGTTTTTCTCCATCCTCACAGGAGGAATTAGATAGTTTCCTCCCCTCTTATTAGGATATTAGTCCAAACACGAGGGTAGATCTCTCATGGTCTTGGTCTAATACTTACTAAAGGCTTCACATCTTAATACTATTGCACTGAGGATTAAGTTTCAACACAAATTTTAGAGGGCACAAGAAAGATCAAACCACAATATCATGTAAGCAGTTTACCAGCACAGAAACCTCAGAGTCACTTTTGCCTTTCTTCCTTATATGTTCAGCCAACTGCCACATTTCTAAAAATACTTCTCACAACCTTACATTGTCACTAGACTCTGTTAACTAATCACCCCGTTGTCTTCTATCTGAACTACTAGCCCTGCTTCCCTCTGCCAGTCTTTTCACCATTCAGCTCATCATCTACACTGACATCAGGGATGTTTTTAAGAACTGATAATATTATAACACCCCATTGGCTTGGTGGAAAAACACCAGTATAAAATACAGACCTGTTGGTATGAAACACAGAATCCATCTCAATCTGCCTTTTTATATCATTCCAATCTTTTTCTCTGAAACTCCCCCTACATCACTGTGAAAGTAGCACTCCCTCTTAGAAACATCACACTCTTCCACTTTTAGGTGTGCTGCTTCCTTCTGGTCCTCTTCATGAGATTACCTTATCATCCCTGCTCCCTTTTGCTCTTAAAGAACATAAACATAGATTTCCAGAATCTATTCTGTCAATTTTACTCTCAGTCGTCTGGACAGAAAGCACTGAATGACTTTCCACCAATGGCTGGGGAAAAATAATAATTATGATACTCTCTGCCCTCAAACAGCATTCAGATAAGAGAGAGAAACAGACATGCTGCAGAATAACCTGCAATGTCTTAGATGTAATCACTTAGGGAAGCAGAAGGCATTTGGAGAGCAGAGGCACACACAAAGCCTGTCCCCAGGAAAATTAAGGAAGGCTTATCTGAGGAGCTGGCCACAATATAGACCCTGGGGGCACTGATTGAGACAGACTAGATGGGTAAGAGACACATTCTCACAAGTCAGACCTAGTGACTTTCACCAACTGATTGACACCCTTGAAAGTATAAGAAAATAGGCTGCATTAGTTAAAACTTCCAAATTAACCTTTGGTCAACTGATGCTTATAAAATTTGAAGCTAATATCTATATCATAATCTATATCATATCAATTTGGAATAGTATGAAACATTTTGAAAATCATAGATAAATATTTCTTTAAAACCAGAAAAATTAATTCTGTGTTTTGATTTTGAGTTAATAAAGGTTATCTCTCAATTTTTATTTTGTATGACATTTAAAAAAATTCTTTAATTGAAACAGGCCATAACAATTTAAATATGTAATTTTATTTAGTTATTATTATTATTATTATTTTGGCACTGAGGACTGAACCAAGGGCATTGGCACTGAGCTACATCCCCAGTCCTACTTCTCTTTTAATTTTGAGACATTGTTTTGTTAAGTCCCAGGTTGCTCAGGCTGTAACCTGCAGTCCTCCTCCCTCAGCCTGCAAGAGTGCTGGGATTACAGGCATTTGCCCTATGCCCTTCTTTCTATGTTTTTAAAACCAAATGATTACATTACATCTTAAAATGTAGAAATAATAATTAAAAACCAAATTTCAGGGGAAAGTTCTGTCTGTATAATTTTGTTTAAAATATTGTTAATGTTAAAAATAGGATGATAGAAAAAGAAAGTCCAAGCCAAAAAAAATGATGTTTTTTTTGATGATCTCTTAATCTACGTTGGTATTGAACTAGTCTGCCTCAAGGTGAATAACTATGGATCTCACTCTCTTGAAGCCATTTTATTTTGGCTTACAAACATGTTACAGATCAGCACTTCACACTTCAGTATATAAATAAGACTTGCTCTGCCACTAGATCATTCACACACTTTATTTTTCCTCCTGCTTTTTAAACAGACAAGAATTAAAAAATACATATCTATAATCATCTTTACTTTCTCTTAGCAAATCATGAAAAACTCACCTCTCACAGGGGGTCTTTCTAGCTCAGAGTCAAGGTGAATTGGTGGGGAAATGTATGAAACTTGTCCATGATGGGCCTGTCCTGTGGACACAAAAAGAAATGTTAAGAAAAAAAATACTTTTACTTCTTTTAGTTTCTGTGATGCTGTATTATCTCACTGAACAATGAATCAACAGCCATGATAGGGTGGAAACAGAATTGCCCCAAAATAAACACAAGATGCATCACCCATATATACACACAATTAAATCAGTGCTGCTCCCATCAAGTCCCCCGCCCCAGCTTTGGTTAAATAATAAATTTAATAAGGAATGAAACTTTTAAACTGAAAATTAAATGTAAAATCTTGTTAGATTAGATAGACATAAGTGCTCTGTCAGCTTCTCCAGTTTTTATAAACACTCCCATCCCTGTACTTATTTCTTTGAAGAACATCAATAAACGGTTGGCAGACTGATACCTAAGATACATAAAACACTTTGGATCACATTTATTTAGATCACTTTACATCTCTGATTAACTTACATTTACCTTGAGAATTTTCTTTCATTATTTGAATAGAAAATATTCCTACCTGCTTATATCTGATGAAAGAAATAAGAACTACAATGCAAAAAAAAATGGAATCATTCTTTTCCTTGTAAAATACTGTCGTCTGCCTACACACTTCTTCATAATTTATTTTTCATCTCATAGTGAAGCCTTGTCTTAAAAAATTAGTTTAGACACACACACACTCAAAATAATTCTAATGCTCAGAGTGGCCATAGTTGATGCAGCAAGCAATTAGGATTTTGAGACAAGAAAGCATAATTACAAAGTCAATTCATTTTCTAAAGTTATTTTATGTAAAGAAGATTCGGGTAGAAGTGAAGAACCTACCACTTTCTTTCTACATGGGAATATGCAGTTATATTTCACACATTTACTACAGCAATTTACAGGGTTGTTAATCTCTTTTCCTAAACAAGGAAAGTTAATGACACGTAGATTATGATAACAGTTAGGGTAACCTTCCCGTTTCAAGTAACATTCGACTTGTAATAAACTCTGCCGATTCCTCTTATGAGGCACATTTCAAATAATTAATATGGCTCCCTGTTGATAGTAGCTGCTGTTGCTCCCAGCATTTTTCCAGCTAACAGCAGAGATGGCAGACAGGCTGTGGTATACCAAATCTCTCATAATGGTAACAAAGAATATTGCACATCTACTGGCCATGTTTCAGTGGAATACTAAAGGCACTATTATAAAAGGAATAAGCTACCAATTATGCACTTTTAGCAGTCCATGTTTAATATGGTTTATTAAAAACTTTAGATTACCTTAATTATAAAACCACCTGTTTGGCTAGGCTACACACTTGGCTGCAAAAATATTTCTATTTTTAATGTCCTGTATCATTACATATGAATTGGTTTGAAATTCTGTGGTTCCTATAAATAAAAATAATGCATCTTTCAGTTCATACTGGCTCAAAATAACCTCGGTATATGAAATAATATTGATTTCATGTATACTACTGGAACACAGCTATCACTATATATAACAATAGCCACAAATCACCTTCTTTTATCCAGTCATTTTCACTACGGGGATTATGTTCAATGTTAATACAGTATACACATATTTTTAAACCAAAGAGAAAAGCAGAGGAAGAGTAAGTAACTTGCTCAAGCATATGCAACCAGTAAACAGCAAAGCCAGCAATGTTTTTACTCCAATCTGGTGTTTTAATTTATAAATATTTTTCTTAAAAAAGTCTCATTATACTAATCCCTTGAAAAACATAGGTACAAATTTTAAATAAGTCATGATGAACAACAGCTTTTGGAGCTGTTGTCCTTATAATCAGGTTGAAGTGAACAGTCCAGTTAAGGGTCAAATTTGCTTCTCCTCTAGGGATAAACAAGTGCCTTCAAGGGTGCTCAACACAGAGTCCTTAGGTTCCATGGAAATCAGGGTACCGGGCATAGCAAAGAGGCATCAGGATCAGGACTATGGACAGACAATTACAGAAGTAATTTTCTCTCCAAGGAGAGCTACAAAACTACAAGATCAGGCATGACAGAAAAAGCCAAAGCCATTGGAACTGACTTAGAAGTATTTAATCTTCATTATGAAGAACAAAACACCTCTGACTACACAAGATCATGTTCTCATGAAGGGGCTTTTTATTGCAAAAACTCTAGCAATTGTAATAAACCACAATAAACACCATAAATAAATCCCACATTTCTTTCATTTCTTTCAGACATTATGGTAACAAAAAATTTCAATGAAAACTGTGATGTAGAATGTAGCTGAGTGGACAGTGCTTGCCTATTATGTGTGAGGCCATAGATTCAATTCTCAACACCTCAAGAAAAATAAGTACATATCTACATGCATAAATGTGATCAGTTCGAAAAGAACTTCATTCTGTAAAAATCATGGCAAACACATCCTGTTTCAGAAGATTTTACCAAAGTCCTGTTTGATAGAGAATATATTTGCTCTTTTATTCTTCATATTCTCTACTATCATATATTAGACTTATGTGGTCTTGTAGTCACTGTTTTGTATATTCAAATGTGTGATGTGCTGTACCTACTACTGCTCTTATTTTTTTCAAAAAAGTACATTTTTCTCCTTAATTTGAGTTTTAATGAAAAAAGCCAAGATTTTGATTAGAATTATATTAACTCTATAAATTAGTCTCTCTATATACATATTCTTCAGATTTCAATTTAAATAATCTTTTAGTAAGTAGTCATAAATTAATTTTGAAGTATGCTATATATGATTTATGGGATATTTCATTAGGCTTATTTTAAAGTATTCTACTTTCCCTGTTATGAATAAATTTTAAAATTTTTCTGATAACTCTCAATGAATCACTTTTTTGGAGAGAAGGCATGGAGATTTTCATTACTTTGGTCCACAATGTGGTAGGTGGGCCCATTCAATTGACTTTTGACAGCTATTGCTGGAATTATTAATTCTTGACTGCAACCTTCCTAGTTCTTTGGAGATAGGTAGCTACACTAAAAATAACATCTTAATTATTTTCCATTGTATTTGTTTCTTAAATAAAATATGCCTCCACATTAAGATTCTTCTCTTAGGGGCCAAGGATTTAGCTCAGTTGTTCTGCTGCCTGCCTTGCAAGCGCAAGGTCATGAGTTCGATCTCCGGTACACCGCCCCCCCAAAAAAGATTCTTCTCTTAGTACGTAATTCTTTTGTGTTGCAGAATATGAATTTTAAAGGTTGATTTTAAAGATTATGCAATTTTGAGGACAGAATTTCCTGATGCTGCTTGTTCACCTGTCACTTTAACTGAAATATATCAAGATAAATAAACAATTCTATAAAAAACAGAGAAAAAAACAGAGTTTCATGTTTATAGCTAAGAAGTCTAGAAGATGAAGGTGATCAGAATATGCTATGCTTCTGTATGTCACTATAGCATTCGGATTATTTTGAGCAGAGGTAATTCAACAGATTCAGAAGGGTTCTCTGCCCTCCACTTCCACTTACTGACCAAAAGCAATGAATGACTTCCCCACTGAGGAAGTATCTCTTCCCAATGCTCTGATACCAAGAGATAACAAGACACCTTCCATTAGTTCTCCCATTCCCTAGTCAATTTCTCACAATGGTTCCTTGAAGCCCAAATTCTTTTGTTTTTAAAAAGGGTTTATAAACTCTTGAATGTTACGAATTCTTTAACTTTCACTTCTGTGAACTCCCATGCATATAAATATCATAAAATTATGTACCTTTTCCCTTGTTAATTAATTTTTGTTTAATTCTCAAACCTCTAGACCCTTAAGCTTAGAGAGCAGAGGAAAAGTTTCCCTTCCTGGCACAAAAGAGCAGCAACACAAATTGGAGAGGCTTGAGTTAGTTTTATTCCCATTTATTCTAGATAAAACAATATATTTTCATGGATATATTCCTATCCATATATGCACATCTATATTAAGATATAATCTATACACCATAAAATGTACTCATTTAAAGTTCATAATTGAATGAGTTTTAGTATATTCATAGACATGTCCAACCCACTACCACAATTAATATTAAAGTATTTTTATCACTGCAAAAAAGAAACCTCATTTCTGCATAAATCTATTAGCAGTCACTCACCATTTCTTCCTAATCCATCCATGCTCTAGGCCAGTGATGGTGAACCTTTTAGAGCATTCAATTACACTAATAGTCTGCTGTAGCATGTGTGCCACAGCTTCGCCACTACTGCTCTAGGGAAACACTCATATAGTTTCTATCTCTATAGCTTTGCCTTTTCTAGATATTGCATATGAAGAGAATTCTACGTCATATTTTGTCTTGTCTTTTTTCACTCAGCATAATTTTTCAAAAACTCATAAATGTTGGAGGATGAATCACTAAAGTATTTTTCTTGCTGAATAATATTCCATCATATAGACATCCCACATTTTATTTATCCACTCAAACATTGATGGATATTTGGAATCATTTTTATTTTTATTGACTATTACAAACAATGGTTCTATGACGCTTCACATTTTGTGTGCTTTTTTTTTTCCTGATGGTAGAATAGTAAAGTCAGGATTGATCAGATTTTGAAATAATTAAATGACTGCAATCTGTGAAAGAAACAATCTCCACAACTGGGTATAGAAAGATAAAGCAGAAAACTTGGCCATGGGATTGTACAGTCACTCACATTGAGAGGGTAGAAGGAATGATCTAGGAAACAGAAAAAATGGGGGTGTGCTCTGAAATGAAAATGTAAACTATTCAAGGTCAGACATATCAAAGATGTAGAAATTCCAAGAGCCTGGAAAAATGGAGCCCAGAGCAGTAGCAAAAATCCAAAGGCTATTATGGATTCTGAAAAAGCCATTATTTTTCTATCTTCAATCTCTTTTTCAACTTTCATTTAATTTCTATTTCACTGAATAACCCTGTGCAATTTCTACTAAAGTTCAAATATAGAAAGGATTTGACCAGAGCTCAGCAAAGGAAAAGGCTTTTCTCTCTTTCTACTGTCAATACTGCACCTGCACATCTGAGCACAGAAATGCACTTATAGAACCATAGAATTTG